GAGCCACAACACTTCTAGATATTTAAATGATATCAGCTTGAAGTTTGGATATCTCTTAGGGCTTAGTCCAACTATGTGGTTTTCACAGACAAGATGCTAACTTTTATTTACAAGTAGAAGAGTTCATGGTGAACATTTTAGTACAAAGATAAATCAATCATTTTATAAGCTGACCAACTAAATGGCTCTAACAACAAGGATTATAAGAAAATCATTTGGAGCAATAGGGCACAGCTACAATCATATGCATGCTCTGACACTGTTTTAAGTCATCTTTATTTTGTGGACTATCTAATTTAATCATAATATCTCAGTTCTAGTGTGTCCTGTAAGTGTTTTTGGGTATCCATGAATAATATTCCTAATTTTTGCCTCACTTTTAGGAGGCAAGATCAAATTTTAAGTGTTTACAACTAAATTTTTTGCAAAATCATCTTACCTATTTAAAAGGGCAGAAACCAGAAATACAGAATGTTCAAGCTGGTTGAATAAAAACTAAGTATCATATATTTAGTTTTCCAACAAAAGGTAATAAATAGTATGTTGCATATTTACTAGACATTCCATAGGATGCACATGTGTGCCCTTTTCTGTTGTTATATTTGTAGGATCCAATATTAAAATTATTTCTGAGCGCCTAGGTGGCGAGTCAGTTAAGTGTCTGCCTTAGGCTCACGTCATGATCCCTGGGTGCCGCGATCGAGTCCCACATCAGGCTCCCTGCTCTGCTGTTTTCTCTCTCTCTGCTTCTCTGTCCTCTGTCAAATAAATAATTAAAATCATTTTAAAAATAAAATAAAATTATTTCAAGTAAATGCTACACATACTCAGAAAAGTTCAGCAGATAGATTGTCCATCAAGCATCCAGAAATATATACGTGAAGTTAAATGTTTAAATAATTTACATCTTCATTTTCTGAACTTTATAAGTTGTAAAAATTCTTTCACATAGTTGCGCTGGCCACATGCATTGCAATTTAGAGCCTCTGGATAGGAAAAAAATAGATCATACTGGGTCACTCTTTATAGCCCCCAATTTTTTGTTGAAATCTATTGTTATTAAATAAAGTTATCATTGCTTGTTATTTTCAAACCTCAAACACCTCTCATCATATTAATAAATTTAAATACCGCTGGATATTAAGGGGATAAATAATATATCCACTTTCTCCTAGAACTTATAACCAAAGGAGAAAGACAGATAGCAAATGCAGATCTTAACTTTACTAGTAGATGTGATTGATGTAATTCCTAAATTTCAGAACTCCCTACTCAAGCTGGATCTTCCCCTCTCTACAGGATGAGTTGTGAGTCTTGCTTGAAGACAAAGAGGCAAGAAAGAGTATAGCACCTTTGACTTCCCCTGCAGTGGGTATCAAAGGGACAGTGGACCATGTCTCCCACGGGGAGTCAAAATGGCCGGCTCCGGCGGGGGCGGGGAGGTGGCGTACATAGCCCATGCCCATCAGTCTCTCTAGCATCTTCCTTCAGGAACATAGAGACACACAGAAATCCCTCCCATCGGTTCCCTAAAAGTAAACATGGAGAGAGAAAAAAAGTGATTATCCCTTCTCCTCCCTAACCATCTTCCCCCAAATTTTCATTGTAATATTTGTACATAGGAACTCATGCCTAAAAATGTAGACATCAGTAATGCTAAATACATTGTCTTCTTGTCAAAATCCCTTATCATCATTAACAAGGTATGTTCATGTAAGATATTTTTCAGGCATGAACTTTTTGGTTCATTTTTTTTTTTTAATGACCAACACTTTAATAAAGTAAAAATGCTTTTAGCCATATAAAAGATTAATCCATATATCCAAACTGATGTTTTGAGTAGAAATATTTCAGATAAGTGTAGACTGAGATCTAAATACAACTCTATATCAATCTATCAATCTACATCTTATATATATATAATAAATAGTTTATCTTTGTGACATATACAATATTAAGTTTTAAAATACATGAATGAGTATAAAGATAGAATTATATATGCTAAATTACTTCTAAATTCTTAACAGCTTTAAATATTGTTAATTATTTTGAAAAGAATCTAGTTTTATTCTCTCTGTGGAATGGAAAAGGCTAGGATTGAGCAAGTTATAGGCCAATATAATATACATCTTACTGGCTTTGATGCTGGTGCTACTTAGGTATATTAAATTATGAGACGTGAAGATGAAAGGGACCCTAGAAATGATCTTATCCAATCTTATTTTACAGATGAGTTAAGTGGGAGAAAGAATACTTGACTTTCTTCAGTCACAGACGATCTTAGCAGTAGAATTAGGGTTAGAACACGAGATTTTTATTTTCAGGTCAGTGTTATCTGTGCCGTGCTCTGCTTATATTTTAGGATAAGACTATAATAAAATGTTTTTAGCAGTTGTTGATCTGAGTATACATTGTAGTTCAATATGTAAATAATACTTAGATGCATTTTTTTCCCCAATTGATTACAATTAATTAAGAACCCATCAGGGGACATAATTTTTTGATGCCATTCCATCTGGAATTCCTTTGTGAATTAATTATACTATTTTGTACTTCAGTGAACTCTAATCCATATTTCATAAATCCATATTTCATTGAAAAACATCAAAAGAATAAATACTAGATAAATCCACTATCATCCAAACAAATACTTTTTTTTGAAGATTTTATTTATTTATTTTAGCGAGAGAGAGAAAGAAAGAGAGTGGCGGGGGGAGAGGGACAAGCAGACTCCCCATTGAGTGTGGAGCCTGACTTGGAGCTTGATCTCAAGACTCTAAGATCATGACCTGAGCTGAAATCAAGAGTCCCATGCTCAACCAACTGAGCTACCCAGGCACCCCAATGCTTTTAAAAGTTAATTCCAGTCCTTGGATATTATGATTTTCATTATAAATTTATTTTGTATGTTGACACTTTGCCCAAATTTTTACAGGTAAAACAATGGAGAAGTTTGAAGCAATAATTCATAAAATTCATGTCTGACCTAAGTAACTATGAAAACTGTAGTACAACATCTCTTATGATAGAGTGTTTTCCATTTTTGACACTGTATTTAACATTGATTACTCACTGATTAAAATGGCATTATGTAATATTTTGCCACATTTAATTGGCAGATGATATTCTGGGTAACTAAGAAAAGTGTGTCTTGCTATAGCTCCTTAAGAAGATGTGGCCATTGTCACCATAGAATTTAGATAATTCTCATTTTATACAACTTTATAAGTTTATTTTAGTGTAATTCTAGATGAGTGTATGTAAGATGACTTTGTTTTCCTAATTTAAAACAACTTCGGAGTAACTAACGAATTTCTGTTGAAGGTGGCTGCCATGGCCTCATGGGATGAAAGTGTCTCTGGAAGAGTTCATCTATTATTTTGATTTTTGCCTGTTTTATTTAAAATCACTAAAATAATTTCTCTTCCCTTAAATACATTGTTATCTTAAATAAATATATGAATCCCACCATCCTTGTGGAAAATTAAGCCTCTCACTGTTGTAGTCAAGCAGTCTCATGCGTTTGCTTGAAAGCTTGTAACTCAAGGCCATCAACCCTAATGTAGGTGAGTCTTGCTTAGCTCCATACAACTTGGTAGAGGAGAAAGTCCCCAAAGAATGATAAAATAAGGGAGACTATGAAAAACAGGAAAACAATGATCAGTAGAAAAACATCTATGCCATTTCCTGTGGGGAGCTCCATGTGAATTTGAGTAATTATAAAATTGGCACTTACTTTTTCATGTAAGTTCTTACCTTCTAAAATATACTACTGTCTAGTCAAAATTTGAACAATTTTTTTAGATAGCTGGAATAATATTTAAATAACTTAGGAAGTAATGTCATGATACAAACTACAAACTTCAATTAAAACCATTCCATATAAGAGAAAAATACTTCACTAAATTATATTTTTACTAGGGAAAATTTTTTTTTTAGTTTTTTATTGTTATGTTAATCACCATACATTACATCATTAGTTTTTGATGTAGGGAAAAATTTTGAATGCAGTTTTTTTATACTGATTTACAAGAATTGTAAATATTCTCTATTTTGAGTTTTTGTACCTTGAAACTTGTCATAAAATAGATCACCATTTTAGGTTGATTTATTACTGGCAGGTCCACAAATGCTTGGCTTCATTTCCCCATACAGCTTCAGAGATGAAAATGTCAATCTATATGGTAACTAATATAAATATCTATTAAATCTAAGGCTCATTCAAATTTTGTCCCATAGTTTCTCAGTTAAAGAAGGGTTATTATACATCAATAACACCCTTATCAATTTAAACACCTTCCTTTTTTGAGAACAATTACTATTTTTCTTAATTTATTAATTGAACCATAATATGCTATATTTTCACAGAAGTTGTATGTAGCATAGTCAAATTATTCTTTATCATAATTCATTTCTAGTTCATAACCCACTAAAATTTAATACTCATATTATTATTATTACTACCAAAGATTAAAATGCTATAAAATATGAAGGCTCCTTGGGAATTACTATACTACAATATAGTTTGACCTTTAAAAATTGCAGTGTAATATTAGACATTATTGATTTTGGTAAATGAATTTGAATAAATAATTTGATCTTAGTTTTTAAAATATATTAATAGAATGGCTCCTCATTGCTAGGAAGATGACCTCTAGGAAAATCAGTTGACTTGGGTGGGTTAAAAATTCAGTAGTCAGTATGAGGTGTCTCCAAGTTACATCTAGATGTGGTATTTTTGTTAGCCTATCCTTTACTAAAACTGATGTTTGGACTTGGGATTTGGATGACACTGTAAAAACAGCGATGTTTTCTGTGATATAATCATATCACATTATAGAACTTTTAATATCAATGGTCTAAATTTGCTTTCTTTAGTTAAAATAGTCTAAGGAACCAGAATCGAAAGAACTTTAGGAAATAGTAGTACCATTTCTTCCTCTTACTTTTGTCAGTTACTAGCAAAACTGGTAAAGCTGAAGGTTTTTTCCCCTTCACAGGTTTGGGATGAAAATCTTGCAAAATCTGCAGAGGCTTGGGCAGCTACTTGCATTTGGGACCATGGACCTTCTTATTTACTGAGGTTTTTGGGCCAAAATCTATCTGTACGAACTGGAAGGTAGGAAACAGTTTCACTGATACTGTTCATCCACACACTTTATTACTTATGGATCCCAAGGGGGAGTGACACCATTTTCAATTAATATCAGCAAATATTATTGAGTACTCACTATGTGTCAGGCAATGATGCTTGGCCTGTGACTGTTTCAGATGTCTTCAAGGATTATTTAATTGGTTAAAAGGTCCTAATAAGACCAGTTTCCCCTTTCACCCTTGGAACACCCTCTCTTAGCCTGTATTCTTCACTTACCTCATAGAATCTTTGAAAGGATTCCCCCACCTCAGGGAGATTTTTTCAATGTGGCAGAAGCCATTTTTGTGTTTATGCAACTTTCCCATGATTAGATATATCTATATTTATATATGTCTCTGTGTGTTATATATTTACATATATATGTACACACACATACCCACACACACACATATATGCAAAGTATGTACAACTATGGGAAAGGCCCTTTCCAGTGATAGGATAATTTTTCCACCACTGAGGAATGTCATCATCCAACATTCCAAAGACCCATTCTCTTCCATATACAGGAGAAAAATCAGGTGTGCCTGATTTTCCTATTAAAATTAAAATGATTCAAGTTTAAGGGAAAAAACACACTGAGTTCTAGTATCACAACTACAATTTATGTATCTAATTTTTAATTGTGTACATGATTCTGGTGGAGAAATTTTTGACAAGATAAAACAAGATAAAGATGAAGATTCCTGAAATATTTGTAATTCTCTTTTTGAAACAACCAGACATATACTTAAACGAATATAGACTCACTTGCTTTAGTCCCGGGCATTTTCATGCTTGGCGCTACTTGGGGGAATAGGTGATGATGGTAATTGTGAGGTATGGATTTGCTCTTGAGTCATCATGAATAATCTGCAAAAAGAACTATTAATTTACAACTTAACATGAGTCCACTATAAATTACCACTGCTGTACTCTAAGTTCTCATTGTTTTTCTTGGTATCCAGATATCGCTCTATTCTCCAGCTGGTCAAGCCATGGTATGATGAAGTGAAAGATTATGCTTTTCCATACCCTCAGGATTGCAACCCCAGATGTCCTATGAGATGTTTTGGCCCCATGTGCACACATTATACGCAGGTTATTTCAATTCTCTTGTTAATTTTTGATTCATAGTTTTAAAAATGCTCTTACTATTTTGGGCAATATGCATTTTCTTATCTTTAACTTCAATAATGAGGTATTGGTTTATTTTTGCAGATGGTTTGGGCCACCTCCAATCGGATAGGATGTGCAATTCATACTTGCCAAAACATGAATGTCTGGGGATCTGTGTGGCGACGTGCAGTTTACCTGGTATGCAACTATGCCCCAAAGTAAGTACTAGGCTGGATTTTACTTCCTGGAACCTCTAATGATATTAAATATCTCCAGTCTGTTAGTTATTTTGATGTGAATAAGATTTAATTACAATAGCCTCTAATCCTCAAATCTCCCATGACCTCATATACATGAAAAATAATGAGATGAATAGTTATTTTTCACAAAGACAGATATTTGGGGCTAAAATTGTGGGCAAAACAATCAGATACAGAGATTCACTAAATTCCCTTCACCTATTTTTAGTCATGATAATTGCAAAATAAACACTGTACTTTCAGGCTTTTGATAGTTCTATAAAAGTTATCAGAAAAGAATCTTGTAGGGAATGTTTCAACATTGCAATATTCTCATCCATCAGTACTAGAATGTTGGCTCATTTTTTTCACTGGGAAAGCAAAACACAGTCCTTCTTCCTTTCTTTTAAAAGTAAAACTAAAAATTATAGTTTACTGATTTTATAGATGGTTAAGGAGTCATTCATTGCCAGAAGGGAAAATTTAAATGCTGTGACTTCCTTTTAAATTAAAGCTTTGCCATGGTTTAAGTTTCAGTATTGAAAATTTAAAATTTTCTTATTAGGGGCGCCTGGGTGGCTCAATTGATTTAGAGTCCCCCTCTCTTGATTTCGGCTCAGGTCATGATCTTAGGGTGGGACTCTGCTCGGCAGTGAGTCTGAGATTAGCTCTGTCCCTCTACTTCTGCCCCCTCCCCCACAGTCGTGCTTTCTCTCTCTCTGTCTCTATCTCAAATAAATAAATCTTTAAAAAAAATAAAATAAAACAAAATTTTTTCACTAGTTCCATTTTATGGCATATATATTGTGAAAATTGATCAAAGACTATAAAATATAGCCATATTTATAAATATTCTCTATAAGATGAGTATAAATAAGCATTTGTTAACATTTGATAAAATGCCTTCCTGATAACAGTAACTCTGGAGATGATAAAATGTTCCAATATTTATACATGAGTCTGTTCCCATTTGGAGCAAATAGCAAAATGTGCAAAGGATTTATGACACTCTTGGTGTCTTCCAAAGTAAGTCCCAAACAAAGATTTTCTCCAGCTTTGCCAATATGGAGAGGGAATGAGAAAATGTTTCACAAATAACTGCATTACTCATTTATATGGTAGTATGCCAGTGGCAGTGTTTTTGCAAAGTTAGAAAAATAGCGATTTTCCCCATGGTCCCCCTTCATAAATATTAGAATAATAAGGTTTGGAAAGTAGAATGTATCTGGATTACAAAAAGCATTAAAAGTGTGCATTTGTTTGATATTTTCAGTTTCACACTTTATATTTTCCTATTAAGCCTTTACCCCTCTTCCTGACATAAAGGCCAAGTAGTACTCAGATGGTGAAAGAGATTTTTATTTCATTTGTTCTTAAACACTGATTCAAATTTCCTAATATTATTGATGAGATACCTGATTGCTTTATATGAAAGATTAAGATATTGTGTTAATATACTTTATTTCCTATTAAAAAGAACCATTATTTTGAAACCCAGGCAATGAAAAAAGTTTTAAAATCTTGACTGACATTTGGGTGTGAATTTTCCAATGCCAATAGAAAATTATCTCAAGCCTGTTTTTTAGGGAGAAAAAAGAGAGAGGTGGAGAGAGGGAGGGAGGTAGGGAGGGAGAATTTAATTAGATGGAATAGAACAAAAAATGGAAGGATGAATAATATAAGTTTAGTAGTTGACCGATTTACTTTTGAATGTAATTATCCTCTATTTTGTAAAAATCTGTGATTTATGTAAAAGTTTATAATGTAATATGTAATACATTTTATGTATAATAAAATTGTATTTTTAAGTTTATGTTACCAAAAATATGTGCTGTGTAATTTCAAAAGATTATGTAGAATAAATAGAAAAATATGAAATTAAAATAGCATAGGCTGGGCCCATATACACTTATAGCTTTGGATAAAGATATAGAGGGAAATAAGATTATTAATATAGAATAGGAGAGATTAGGATAAAGGAGTGAGCTACACTCACAAGCGAATGGGCCTCCTTGAGTGTTTTGGAGTAAGCATGTGTCATTATCCAAATTATACCCGAGAAAGCTTATCCAGGGGGCAGAGTATAGAATAAACTGAATAGAGATGGATGCTCTTGGAATCTGATGACATTTTGTAATATGAATCACTAATCAGCATGTTTTTCATTTTTATAGATAAATTCTCCTCTATAAATATTTTATAGATCAGAGCCTGAATTTTTATAAAGATTTTACTTATGTATTTTTTTTTAATTTATTTGAGAGAGAGAGAGAGAGAGAGCAAGCAGGGGGAGCTGCAGAGGGAGAGGGAGAGGCAGGCTCCCCGCTGAGCAAGAAGCCCGATGTGGGACTCGATCCCAGGACCCTGGGATCATGACTTCAGCTGATTAAGCATCAGGTAGATGCTTAATCGATTGAGCCACCCAGGTGCCCCAAAACCTGAATTTTTAACTGACTGATTTAAGCAGATATTTTATGTAGATACACTTTAAGAGTCACTTCTTGGGCTTTTTCAGGTCTTAAAGAAGATGAGAACCACCTGTTTCATATTTTAGCCTCTTACCTACTGTTGGCTTATTTTCAACCCTGACTTTTTACTGCTGACAATCATATTTCTCCTGACCATTCAATTTCCTTCAAAATGCTGGCTATGTTGCTATTTCTTAATACCAATCACCATGCTATTGAAAATACATCTATTACCTTCTCCCTCATAATTGAACAGTAAGGCATTGTGGCTATTTCCGACTATTGTAAATGATGAATTTGATGTATTATTATGATCATGGCCATCAATACAGATAAAAATATTGACAACGCAAAATAATTTAGTTTATTGTGTTTAGCATTATCAAAAAACAAATAGTATTACTAAAAACAAAAGCTATGAGTTTACACATAGGTAAAGGTTTTGAAATCACCTTTGTTTCCCTGAGCCCTTTGTTTCCCTTTGTTTCACCTTTGTTTCTCTTACCATGACAACTTATGGCAACTTCTTCCTTATTTCATCATTTGTAAGCCTCCTAGAAAATACTAAATACATGTAAATATTACCATCCTTAGCATTAGCAGGAGTTTTAAAAATGGGAATGTGTTCTGCCAACATACTCTAGAAGGCACTTATAGGGCAGAGACAGATGCGGTGACTGAATGAGCATCAAGCCTGGCATCAGATGACTAATTCTGTCACCATTCATTGTAGTGCTTCACGTCTTATCTGTAAATTAAGGTAATATTAACTGTTGCAGAGAGAAATATTTAAATAGTAAGATATATAAAATAATAAGTTACTGTATAAATAAGAACTGGAGGGGTGCTTGGGTGGCTCAGTGGGTTAAGCGTCTGCCTTCAGCTCAGGTCATGATCTCAGGGTCTTGGGATGCAGCCTGGGGCTCCCTGCTCCATAGGGAGTCTACTTCTCCCTCTCCCTCTGTGCACCTCCCCCGCCAACTCATGCTCTCTCACACGGTCTCTCTCTCAAATAAATAAAATCTTAAAAAACAGAAAAAAATGGATATAATTTTCCGTGCCTTTCTAAGCTGACAAACTTCTCAAAAAGATCATTACATGTCAATCCATGTGGTCATGTGCTTAAGGACAATCGAATTTCTTTAAATGGGCATTAATGTAACATTAATTTTATCTTTGTACTTTTTTTCTTCTTTCTAGGGGCAATTGGATTGGAGAAGCACCCTATAAAGTAGGGGTACCATGTTCAGCTTGCCCTCCAAGTTATGGAGGATCTTGTACTGACAATCTTTGTTTTCCAGGAGTAACGTCAAACTACCTATACTGGTTTAAATAAGCTTATCTTTTCCTCCAGGAAATAGAATGGTTTCTGGGAATCATAGGCATATATATATATTGAGTTTTGCACATATTATACATATTTTATAATAATCTTGTTTTCCTTTTATTATTCACTGTATAAATTAGTGTTTGTCTAGTATGTTTGTTTCACCTTTGAGTTAATCAAAACATCCATTTCTGTCTTCTGACCTCTAAGCCCAAGTTAAAATGTTGTCTATGTAGTATTGACATAGTTGATGCATCCAATTCTAAAACTTGCTTCCCAAAGGAATTATGTTACACTTGTGAGGAATCAAATATATATTTGACCTATAATTTATGTGTGTGTATGTAGATATATATACACATATGTGTATGTAGATATACATGCACAAACATATAACAGATGATGTAACACAGAGAATAATGTGATTCAGTAGTTAACTTGAGGGAAATTTTAATATATACTATTCTGAAATATATATGAGGTGGTGGGACATCTTCAGCACCCATGTCTATAATATCTACAAAGTGACAATTTGCGAAAAAACACTCAGTGATGTCTGGGCATAATAATTTAATTAAGCCACCAAGGATTTCATTCTGGAGGTATTTTGTCTTATTTGGGTTCACCAAAGGATATGCGCAACTTACGTAAGATTCAAGTCATACCTTTTGCTTAATCTCTTTTATTGAATTAGTAGTCATGTGTTGAGTGCTTCCTATGTGCAAGGCACTCTGCAAGTTATGTTCTGATAATGCAAAGATGTGAGATGCGGTTCCTGCCTTCAAGAAGCTCGCAAAAATATTCAGGAAATAATGCAGTTTAAGATTTTGCTGCAAAATTACAGTTTTTTAACAAATTGATTTTAATGTAAGTTTGAGTAAATAGATGCCACACTGGTCACCTATAGGTGAAATAGGGATGAGGACACTGTGTGATACGCAAGGCTTCTGATTAGCATGAAAATGTAGGGACACCACTTGGAACTAAAAGAGGCAGAAAAGAATTCACTGCCCAGGGATTACTGTATTAGAGTAAATAGTTGTGAGTTTGGAAGGCAGACAGCAAGATGCTAAAAAACCTGACAAGGCCCAGGAAAACTAAGATTTAGGGGACAGGTATGTAAAGTCACAGAAATAGGGTTACTGCACAAAAAATTACAGGTGAGAGCTTCAGAAGGGCCCTTCCTGAGAGTCTAGTATATCTCGAGGCCTGTCAGCAGAGGGTGAAGAATGCCACAAGAAACATGTGAGATGCCAAGGACACTTCCATCTCTTCACATCATTATTTGGTGAGCATCCATCCTATCGTAATGAGCCTCTAAGCATCACGTTAAAGATTCTGTATGCACACCACAGTTAGGTTTTGGCAAAGTGGTGCTCTTCAGATGATTTGCTAAGGACTAATTAGCAAATCTTATTTCCATGTCTATGTAGAAGAATAATTTTCAGTTCTCCATTAAGTTTGATTGTGGAAGTCAAATCAAAGTCACTATGAAAATTTCACTCATGTGATTTTGGAAATGCAATGTTTCCTCCTTCAGGAATTCGCTATTAGAGAGGAAAATTCAACATCTGGGTCAAGACACTTATATTATGTTTTGTGTGTGTGTGTGTGTGTGTGTGTGTGTGTGAGAGAGAGAGAGAGAGAGAGAGAGAGTGAAAGAGAGATTATGAGAGAAAGAGAATGAAAGAGAGAGAGAGAGAGTGTTCACAAGTTATGTAATGCTTCCATAGAATTACAGAATAAGCAAACAGGGTTAGTTCCAGAGTGCAAATAACAGAAAGAAGCTACTTGTTTAAAATTCTGTACACATTTGCAATTTCTTAGGGCGGATGCACTGAAAGATGACAGTTAATTAAATCCAGTCAATGAGGGAAAAATCCACCATCTGGAGTTTAGGTTTACATGATGACACACAATTGGCCTAATTCCTTTTACAAATTGAATGTGGTGACCAAATGTTTTGATATCATACTACTCTGCTCTTGTGGGCACATATATAGACTGTATGAAAAATAAATATTTTTGGATACTAAACTGAAGAACAGAAGTAGTTGTTAGATTCGGGCCCCAGTCTAACTTTTATCTAACTATGGGCAATTGAAGAGAAAGCCAATTAGTGGGATGTTTACTTGATTTCTCTAGAAAGTATTTCCAACTTTCATTTTCCTAGACTTGTTCTATAGAAGTAGCAAAAGTACTATTAAACAAACATGACTGTTCTCAGTTCCAGTCCTGTTGCTGGATTGCCTGTGGGGGTTGGTTTCTCAGTTCTGAAAAAGAATAATGATATCTGCTACATATTTCACAGAGGATCTTCTGAGGCTAAAGTTACCATACTAATAGCAATTTATCAATATTAAAAGCAACATTAATGTTGTGAGACTTATTTGGGAAAAAATTAAGTTTTATGAGCTTCTCTTTGGCAGAAACTGTCTGATTCTTTGTATTCATCCCAGCTTTTTACACAGTGGTTATAATGCAGTAAGTGTTTAATAAACGTGTCTCTGAATATATTTTTAGAATTAACTAAAAAACCTAGAATTGCAACAATTTAGAGGAGTCCCACTTTTCCATGTTTTATTAAGACAAAAAAAATTTCTTAAATAAAAAGCTCTGGATGCATCAAAAATCCAGATACATCATCAAACATACCAGATTAAGACTAGGATCTAGGCATGAATAACTGACACCACAGTCCTTTCCAAATCACTAGAGCTATACATTTATTTATAACTCAACAACTCAGCTGAAAATATAACGGGTATTTTTTGTTATGCTATGTGTACTTTTTAAATTTAGTAATATAAGGTAGACATGTGAACTGTTTCATGTTCCAGGCTAAAGCAAATGAAAATTTGCTGATATCAACAGTGTGTCCTGTTTTTCACAACATTCAACCATGGTGCTAGGATAGCTAGTTCTCACTGTAATTCCCAGGGGCAGAAAGAGTCTGGGTATCAGATACTTCTTAAGAGCAGCTTTAAATAGTCAATATTGAGGTATTCATTTCAAAACATATCATTCAAAAGAAAGAGTAGTCTCTATATTCTCCATATTCCACAGTACTGATCCTCTCTCTATGGCATGGAGTTTTCAGTAAAAAAGTAAAACACTTCCATCACAATACAGTTTTGTTTTGTTTTATTTTGGCTTCCATGTCATCAGAAGACTGGAAAAATGACAATTTTAGCTGTTAAACTGATGGATTTCTTTATAGAATTGTATTTAAGTTGTGTGGGCACAGGCTTAATGTTGCTGGTTATGACAGATAAGCTTGTTTTTAAAATGTGGTGGAAACAATTTTTATTAGTACCATTTTTGCTTCTGTTCGGTAGCCTAAGCATCGTGATTTCTGTGGTTCGTCAGGGTTTGCCCTACCAGCTTCATTTGGCAGTGCCATAACGTTTACTTGAAACCTTTGTGGAAACAGTCATTCGAAAGCTCCGTGCAACTCTAGCAAGGAGTTGACCAGACATGAAGGCAAGTTCACCCAATAAAATATACTCGGACTATTTGGACTGAAACAGCGTGCATTTTTCTCATTAATACATGCTTGTGTAAAATCAACTTGTATCATTTACATAAGCAAATCTGATACATATTTAGACCAGCTGGAGTGTTTTGTGTTCATACCCTGCTTATTAAGTGAATATATAAGCTACGCAGATAATTTGAATATGTCCAGGAAGGAAAAATAATGCTCAACCTGTGGTTTATGTTCTCCCTTTGTATAACAACATCCCCTACGTTCCACAGTATCACAGGATGCAAATTTTGACATAAATGGAAGCTTTTACCTACCAAAGTGTTTAGGGAGAGTAAAGTTAGATTTCTATCAGTGCCTAACAGTATATTTGACTTTACATATGTATATATATATATATATATATGTATGTATATTATATTGTCATTATATGTGTGGGGAAAGGCATATTTGAACACATGCAAAATGATTTTAAAAAATTATGCCATGATATAATTTTGACTTATGAGAGGTCAATCAAAAGCTTAGAAAGTTAAACAATTCACTCGTTAATGGTGCTGAAAATGCGTTACAACCACCATATCCTGGCTACAACTTTGAGGTTTCTTTTCAGTTGAAGTTTTTACTAAGTGTGAACTATCAGTATCGATTCTGGTGCTAAATACGTGGTGCTAAATGAATTGTTAGTGCTAATAGTTTTAGTAATGCTCTTTTTATTCATTGTTAAAAGCGATAATCCATTCAATTCCTGATTCAGAAATATTAATAAAATCCTGTTAAATTAATGTTACCCAGAAATAGGCCAGTGAACTCTCTTTTTTGTGTAACAGTCCAACATTATCTAGATGTTACAGAATGTAAATATATTTCTTTAGAAGTTATCAAATTTCTTTTTTTAAGGCATTTTTTAGCGTGGCAATGTCCAAATTCAAGTATCACCTGAAGGTTACACCGACTATGCCACAGGCACTGGCGCCCTCTGGTGATTGTGAAAATAAATTTTTGGTGGCTGCTTGGCGGGCAAAAAAAGACGTTGCTTTTGTTAAAAAAAAATTTTAAGTTCCTCAATATTGGAACTCTTGGGTACTCCTTAAATCTGACAGCATTTGAAAATGCTTGATTCTGTTGACATCATTTTCAAAGAGGATAAGAGAGGGACTATATCTTGGCATCCACTTTCCTAAATAATAATGTTTTTTTTAATGAAAATTTATTTCTAAGGTGCTTATCGAAGTGTTTTTTTTTTTAAACTAGGTATTACTAAAGTATATTTTTCATTTGGCTTACATCACAAATACAATTAGAATTAAAATTAGCAAACAGAATTAAAAGTGTGTCTCCTTTTCAGAAGTGATTATTTTTATTCAACATAGTATGTAAGATTAAAAGGAGATATGTTAAAATAATTAATTTCATAAAAAAGGATTATCTCTCCATTTTTACCTGTTGGTCTAAAATTTGATAATGTTCTTTAGTCATACTATTTAGCTAATGATAAAATTGTGTTATTCCATTCAAAGTCCTTCTAGCCTAACAAATGTACATAAAAACTTAGAATTATATCAGTTGATATAACTAATGAAGACAAAATTCTTAGGCAAACTTCCAGTTGAGGTATGTCATTGACATTATGTGTATATATCACATAATTGTGATAATCTGTTTTGACAGAAATGTTTCTTAAACTACGTTAGCATAACCAAATGAAATATATTTTGAAGCAGTTTTCCACATTAGTATTTTCAAACTTAAAGCAAGAGAACACATTTTATGATCCCAATTATATATAAAGCTCTAACATATACTACATACAAAATGGATCTGCTCATACCCCAACCTTCCCCAGTGCGTGGGAAGTTTGTTCTGAGAGCCCTAGGATTCTATCAAACAGAAAAACATTGATCAGTTCCCCCCATTTTTCTCTAAAATAATCAGGTAATTAAAGTAAGAAAAAAATTTGAGACACTAAATTATTTCAATACCCACTTCACTTTACATATGTTAGAAGCTTCTGGTTTGATGAGGAATTAAATGCTGACTTTAACTGGTGCTTGGAGATAGCTTACAGGATCTTGTGTTTTGTTATTTGACAAACAGAATTTTGGTCCCATAGTGGTTGAGAATGGGAGGTAATTGTGGTGCACATATGAAAATAATGCATTTTTAAAATATCTAAATATTTCAAATATGTACATAATCCTAAAATATACTATATCATTTCAGATTTTTTTAAAGATTAATTTGGATAAGTTTTATTCATTACTTAACACTGTGGCAGTGAAAGGTGCTTTGATGTGATATAATGTCATGAATGTGTACATACATAAAACCTGTGTAAACCTGTCCTTATAAAGCCTAACAAGTGTAGCTTTTTGAGCTCTGCTGTATTTTCTTTTTCAATAAAATATTATAATTAATTGTTTTGTTTTAAAAGTATATCTAATTGTTTTCTTGTTTTCAATAGAGTTTTCAAATAGAACTAGATGGCATGATAATTTTGATAAGGTATGATGGACGACTTCTCTAAAGCGACAATGATTATATCTTTAATGCATCACTGAAATACACCAATAATCTTCTATTTTCCTTTTTTCCCCTTTCTTTCTTCCCTTCCCTGCCTCATTCTTTCCTTCTTCCCTTCTTTTTCTACTCAATTCCAAAAAATATTTTGAAGTACAAATATAAGAGACATTTCCATGGAGGAAGAGGGAAAGATCGATGTATCGAGAAGTTCTGGCTGAGGAAAATTGCAGCAGTTGAACACAAATACTTTTATGCTTCCCCGCATAGAGAGCCTGAAGAGAAACCATAGATGTTCCTGGGGGAGAGGCACGCATTAGGCCACTCCTTGGCCCAAGGATAGTGATTCCTAGGGTGGCTCTACCCTGTAGAAGGGTAATTCCTTTCTCTCTGGTGAAATGTAGATCTCGCAGACTAGTGCACCGAGAAGAATCTGAATCTCGGGCTTTAAATTTCTCCTTACCATCTGTGATACTGTGATTGATTATAAGAAAAACAAGGGGCACCTGGATGGCTCAGTCGGTTAGGCATCTGCCTTCGGCTCAGGTCATGATCCCGGGGCCCTGGGATCAAGCCCCACATCAGGCTCCCTGCTCAGCAGGAAG